AACAATCCAGTTAGACCTGGATTTCATAAACCATAAATCTTCCTCCAATTTCAAGACTTTCACATATTCAAGGGTAAGCTCCTTCTCTAAAGAAGAAAACCGGAAGGATTTTGTGAGAGGGAACGATGAATGCCTTCAAGTCTAGCATTGAGAATCCGCTTTTTAACAAAAATATTGTCAAAAGTGGTTCTACTCCAAATTCTACATGAAGTTTGGGTTTTTTAAATACATTGCGACGTGCACAAATATTGAGCAAACCAGATAGGAGAGATTAGATCATGAAACTCAAAATGATCTAACCAAAATTTCTCCAATTTGAAGGGCTTATTCCCACTCCTCATCAATGGGGTATCAAGACAGAGGAAAAGTGGGTTATGATCAGAGCTAATACGAGGGAGATGAAGAAGATTTGAATCAAGAAATTGAAGACGCCAATCAGGGTTAGCCCAAGCCTTGTCAAGACGTTCCCTAATGACATGGTTATTTTCCCTCATATTAACCCAAGTAAACCTACCCCCTGTGTACCCAATATCCATGAGGTTACAATCACTCATACAGTTAGTATAAGCATGAACACGAGATTGACTAATAGGAGCAACCCCAAAATTTTCAACTTGATCCACAACATTATTAAAGTCTCCAATCACAAGCTAAGGCCCACTACAAGGAGATGGGTCTATACTGACGGAAGTTTTCCGTCTGTATAGACCCATTTTCCGTTGGTATAGACCCCAAGGACTATTCCAACGGATCAATTTTCAGTCGGTAGAAACCTCGTCAGTATAGGGTATATACCAACGCCTAATCCGTCTGTATAGACCCTAGAATCTATTCTGATGGAAGATTTTGTCCGATGGTATATACCCTAGGATCTATTCCGATGGAATACTTATCCGTTGGTATAGACCCTGAAAAATCTTAAAAATTTTTCCGTTTGTATAGACCCTCGTATTTACCGACTAATTTCATTGGTAAAAACTCAAACATTTGTCTGTATACACTCATAGACCAAAGACCTATACCGACAGCTTTTTCCATCAGTATAGATCTTTTTTTTTTTTTTTTTTTTACAATTGATCGTTCGATTCAATTCTATTTTATTTATAGTTTTCTCTGCAATTATTTTTTTTCTATATTGACAAATATCATTTGTCAATTTTTTTATAATAAAGAGAAAATTATATTATTTTTCAGATTAATTAATTAATTAATTCTTTTTTTCTCTTGGATTCAAGATTGGCTAATTCACAGAGTGGAACCTAAATCAAGTTTAACTTTTATACCTTACAAATTACTCATAAGCTAATCACTCATTAATGCTCTTAATCAAAATTAACTTAACCATTGATTGGCTTATTAGGAGGTCTTCGTCCTTTCCTGGAAGTTGTCTCTGTTTTGCTTTGTTTTCAACAAGTAAAACAGAGTCCCCAAAAACAAATTGCACTAAGTCTCCTGCAATGTAATGAATCAAAAGAAATCAACCAAATCAAACCCCACTTCAAAACAAATTTAAGTAAAATTGGAAAAATTCGAAAGTAATTGAATCAAAACAAATTTAAGTAAAATAAAAAAATCGAAAATAATCAAAAGATTATGAGTTTCCTGCAATGTTACCTCTTCGGCTTCTCTGGATCCTTTGCAATTTCTTTTCCAGCCGCTGCACTCTTCAACTTAACGAAAAAATTTTCCAAAAAAAAAAAAAAAAACACATTGATTAATAGCAGAAGCTAACACTTAAATCTGCGACGGTCTTAGAACGCAATCGCAATCACTATGATATCAAAAAAAAATATTAACTCAGAAATTACAACAAAGCAAAAGAAGGAATAAAATTCACTTACTATTAGTTTTCTTTGAATTAGCCTTCGATCTAGCACCTTAATCCTGCACGAAAAATAGTCAAAATCAATGAGAATCGTTTAAAGATCGGTCAAAACAGTGCAAACATGACTGGGTCGCTGCAGCGAGTTACCTGAGAGTTAGGGTTTTTGGAAGACAAGGAGACGTGAGCAAGCGAGCGAGAAAGATAAATGGACAAATAGGCAATTTGATTTGGTGTGGTGTGGATCCTGAAATAGGCAAAGGGGGAAAATAAATGGACAAAATGGAGTTCGCGCTTGGGCGGGATTTCAAAATATTTTTCGCCACGTCAGTAATCCGAGTGCTTTCATGCCATTCACGCAGTTTAATAATTTAGAGGCTTCTGTATATTTCTTTTGTGAAAAATATAAAAGATAATATTTTTGTATAATTATATTTTATTTAGATAATTTATTTGTTTATTTATTTAAAATTTGTTATATTGAGTGTAATTATTAATTTAATAAAACAAAAAAATTGTATAAAAAATTATTTATATCTCTTCATTTATATTAATATCCTTTTATATATCCTTTTATGCTGCTTGAATTCTCTATTTTGTTATATGAAATTTTTTTTTGAATACTTAAATTTATGGAATAATATATAATTTAATATCTAAATTTATTTTACAATTTCAAACCTCTTGCTACAATTCTCAGTGCTTCTATTGTTGGAACGAATAAGGATCCAAGACAAGCACTTCCAAGGTTCAGGGATAAGGCTCTTTGGAAGCAGAATTTAGTACTGCACTGCATTCCTCTGAGGTAATACAAAGAAATTACTCTGCTAAGTGCTAATTGTTAAATTGCTAACATTTCTCAAGACTTTAGCCGTCCAAGCCAAGCTCAAGAACAATACAATTATAATCAATGGTTGAAACGGGGAAATTAAAGGTTCCAATCACAGCCAAAATCCACATAGACATCCATATGAATCCAGCCCCAAGCATCACATAAGTGGGGTGGTTTAAATCTGTAAATTTGGAAGTAGGTTCCATTGCTTTGATCAAAACCTAGGTATAGAACTTAATTCTCGGACTAACCCAACAAGCATACAAGCCATTACCAATTGCAAAGGCAATGAAGCAAACCCCAACACCATCTGTACGTGGTAGGTCTCTGGAAGCAAACTAGAAGAATTCCAGCCGACAAACACATAACAAAGGAGCTCCAAAGTATGAAATGAATCATGAAATGAGGCCATTGCCTCACTGCCTTTTGCCAGGCAAATGCAAGAGATATGCTCAAGAGTGATGCAGCTTCAACTTGTGGCAGCAAATATTTAAGTACCATTTTCTCCATCTGTTTTATTGACACTAGTGCTTTAATTAGCCCTTGAATTCCCCTGAATATGAGAATATTCTAGCCCAACAGCCACAACCATATGCAGCATGAACAAAAACAGAGATATTTTGATATCTAAATTTATATAAATTAATATCTAAATTATAGGTTTGAATCTATAATTTAATATCTAAGTTTATCAATGAAAAAGTCTGCTTAATTAAACTCAACAGCAATAGAGCAATTATTAAACCCTGTTGGAAATGTCAAGGTTTTCTCTACCATAAAACCATACTTCAATCATCCAATAATTACTGAGAAAGTTTCCAAAGGTAAAACAAAATCAGAGATACCAATACACAAATATATTTCTAGCTGTAAACTCTTCAAAAATCCACCAAAGCAAGCTTAATCTCCAAATTTGTAGATCATATTATCAACAAACAAAACAGAAATACCAGATCTAAACGAATTTCCAATGAAAAGCAATGTAAAACTTCTAATACTTCACAATAATCCCGTATCAATGTAAAATTGTCCAAAAAAAAAATGCATCTACCAAACTAGAAAATCATTAGTCTTTAAACTGTCAAACAGGAGACACAAACATGCCTTTCAATCCCTTTGCCCATCATTTTCTTCATTACTTTCATTTTGGCGAGACAAAAGGTGATGGCTTGATTGTGAAGAGGAACGATTATTTGGGGAAAAACCTTGCCCACTATTAGCATCCGGAACCTACAATTCAGTAGAAAGTAATTAAGTGATAACTAAAATTTTAAAAATTCAATCAAAAGAAATAAAAAAGAAAAATAGATTTTAACAATTAAACTTAAAAAATAGTGAAACCCGAACGAAGAGGTATAAGTAAGTATGAGATACCTCTTGACGGGCCGCATGTGCCTATTGAAAAATAAAATTCAATAAGTATAGATTTGAAATGAAAATTGAAAAGAACAAAAACATAAACTCACCAAAAACTAAATAGAAGAGATGAGAAACTAAGAAAAGAATACTGAACAGGTAAATAAAAGAAGAAAACATAAGCTAACTTTATTAAAATGGTAATGATATAAAGATCTGATTACTAGAAACAAAAAATTACTTGGAAATAAAATTACTTGTTAAAATTACTAGAAACAAAAAAATTACTTGAAATAAAATGGAAGGATCTGATTGAAAAGATCAAAATAAATAAAGAAAATAAAAATAAAAGGCAAACATTTGTCACATCAAAGCTCCTCATGAAAAATCTATCTGTCATCTACCAAACCATATCTATGCAAGAATACAAAGGAAAAAAATGTCAAGTTGTAATGGTTGAACAAAAGAAGTTTACCTCTCTATCTAATCTGTTGGCAGCACCTAATTGGCTGGCAGCTTGTAGAATATCTGCGATATTCTCGTCCGGGAATCTTGCCTTCATTAGCTGCATTAATCCACCTAGCATATTCTCCACCTCACTCAACCTTTCCTCAACATTGCCATTTGAAGACGTGGAAGGGACAGATTTTTTTGGAAGTTGGAACCTTCCCTAAGCAGCGAACCCTCCCTTTCTTGTCAAATCCCTTCACCTTAGAGAATACATCATCTCGCCAAGATGTAGTTTCCTCTAATGCATTTGCAAAAGAAGTTGAGTCACTCATGTAGTTTTTAAGTTGTTCCTATGACATTTAACCTAAAATTAACTCCTTATTTTTTTTTTATACAATGAAGAAAAGCATACATCATTAAAAACACAGAGTTTGTGTTTACTAACCATCACTTGGCTTGCCTTTTCACTTACAGGCCCCCCTTCCTTTTTTGTTCGACTTTGAATGTAGAGTTCAACCCTTGACGGCTTTCTCCCTTCAGCAGAGCTTTCCTGGAAAATAAAAAAGCAATAAATAATAAAATTATAATATACCTTTAAGCAATTATACTAAAAAAAGGAAAATAGGATAACAATTTAATTTATTACTAATCTAACATCATTGACACTGCTTTTTTTAATAAAGTAGCTTGAGCAGAAAAAATCAATTACCTTCTCATTGACAAATCGTGCAAAAGTCTTGGTGCCTAGACAATGGGGCTCTTCAAGTTTTTGCCTGTTTTCTTTGTATTGTTTGCTAATTTTCTGGAAGAAAACATAAGGTATAAGTTATTTGTGATAATAGAAAATTAGGCAATATGTCAACTGCACAACAAAATTGTCATACCTCTCCCTTCTCACTACGCCAATATTCAACAAGCACTTCAAATTGCTCCTTATCAACTCGAGGATCATTAATCTTATCATACATTTCATCTATTGTTAGCAATGGATCAAATCCTGCACTTTTTAGCTCATTTTTATAGCTTTTCCATTTCTCATTAACATCAGTCATAATCCAACTCTTGATTTGCTCTTCGCGGCTTTCATCAATAAAGAACTTGGACTAAAATTAGAAACCACAAAAATAAAATGAGATTCAAAAAGACCAATAATAACAATAGCAGAATATCATAGCAGTAAAAGAGTCATCTTCAACCCAAACCTCTGTAGCCACACAAGAAGCTGATCCACCATAATTAAAACTGAGTTCTATTCATCCTACACAACTCTAAAATCTAAACCAAATAAACTCCTATGTCTTATACAGGTGTTCGACTTCTATAATCCATGTTAAACCTTCAGACAAAGTAGAACCTGTATTCATGGCTTCTGCTTATCCTAATTCTCTCTACCCCATCCTACTATGTCTGCGACCAGTCTCTGTCCTAGCTCAAACATATAACAATATAACCTTGGGCTCCTCATTAACTCCAGTACTTAATGATAACTCTTCCTGGACATCTCCATTTGGTGAATTTACATTTGGCTTCCAAATCCCTAGCTTCCCATCTTCTATACTCTACCCAGAAAAAGGAAAAAAGAAAAAAAAGTCACCATCAAATGTAAACCCAGAAACCTTTCAATGCAATAAATATTTTCTTTGGGTCTTTCCAGGAGGACCGGCAGCATGGAAATGTTGAACAAGTCAAAGTCCATGTTAGGTAAAGATTAAATGCCAACCAACTTGCACCCACAACTTTGGCTGTGTTGCACCTAACTTTAGACAACACAAATCAATTGAAGAAACCCAAAAAAAGAAATATATCCTGAATGATTTCTGCGCTAATAAATCACATGAAAAATATATCATCAACTTCTAAATTAGGTAAACAAGACAAACCATCCAATTCCCAACGTGAAAAGTAAAGGCAGGTTTTGAAAACACAAAAATAGAAAAATTAACAGTTATAATTTGCATTTAGAAGAGTTCATACACAATTAGGAAATTCATATCAAAAAATTGAATAAACACAATCTAAGATATTTCACCCCCCCTAAAAAAAAAAAGAATCAAGGTAAGGTTGACTAAACTTAATCAATATGTACATTACTTAAATTTATAAAATAAGAAATAATATACCAAATTTGCACCAAATTTACTAATCTGTTAAGAGTATAAGCCTTTTTTTTTACCTCAATAATCTTCCACATGTCATCCTTATAAATTTGAGGCATATCCCTCCATTCTTTGTAGTTAATAGGTGCAACATCTGATTTTCTTGCAACAGTACCAAGGAATCGAGTCAAGGTGCAGCCTTCTTTACCAACTGGGTGGCAATTTGAATCAAATATGACGTTGACCTTGACACCTTTTTCCAACTCCCATATGTGGGACATCAATGTTGGACCTCTTGGCTTTCTTGGTGGTGGAGATGGTGCTAATAATAAATGCATTCATAAGTTATAAATTCACATAAATTCATCTTATAAATTTGAAAATCAACAATTTAAGTAAAAACTTTACCTCTAGAATTTGTTTCTTCTAGGACAGCATGTTGCTGGCTTGACTCACCTGCATTGTTTTGAGATGGAGCAGGTTGTTGGCTTGGCTCAACCTCATTGTTTATGGATGGAGAAGAGGGTAAACCAGCTGCAGTTTGGTTGTTTGACTGCACTTTTACAAAATTGAGACGCTTGCGCTTTGGCATCCTGAAAGGAAAAACAAAAAAAGATGATAATAATGAGAATTTATATCCTAATGGCAAAATATATACTAAAAAAGCAAGCCAAGTTTTTGAACTTAGAAGAATTACATAAATACATCTATAACAATCATTCAACCATGTTCAAACAATTGAAAAAGTAATAAATACTAATAAGATAAAAATATAAAAACTAAACTATTATATTTCAAATTATAGTCATACATTACACAAAATAATAACATATTGCCTTCATTAGAAAAACTAGTAACTACACTTTGTACTACAAACTAAAATTTAATCATCCATTTCTTCCTCATCATAGGTTTCAACTTCCATATTTGGTGTCACAATAATCCCCTCTTCCTCTGTATCTCTCCTAACCCAAGTGGATGCCATGTCTGTTCCAGCAACTTCATATGCTCTAATAGGTATCACTTCTCCCAAATCAAAGGCACCTCTAACCTTCACATGCTTGACTACTTGCCAACCTTTTTCTCTTGCATCCTCAATGTAAAACACTTTACTAGCTTGAGAAGCAAATATGTAGGGGTCATCACTAGGATTACTACCAGTGTGAGATAAATGATTGAAATTGACCAATGTAAAACCAAATTCATCTTTCTTGCATCCTCTTTGGGTGTTTGCCCAATCACACTTAAAAAGCACAATTCTATAGAATAACTTGTGTTTTTGATATAACTGCCACCCCACTGTTTTGTGTTTTCAAGTTATTCTCATGAGTTTTGGTGTGGAATCTTAATCCATTTACTAAATATCCAGAATAGGTCAGAGCAACATCACTTGGTCCTTTCGAGAGCCACTTAAATTTTTCAGAAATAACATAACCTTGTTGTTCCATTCTTGCAACCTGTTAACACAAAATATTAATTTCACACATTAGTTTGTGAAGCCAAAAATCATATGCCATTTAGTTTGTATACTTTAAACTTACCCGATCACGAAACCATTCATGAAATGTCAAGGAATGACGCCTTTCGATCTCATACTGTGATAGGCGAGGTGAGCGATGTTGTTTCTTTAAAAAATCCTTGTGTTCCCTAAAAGCATTAAATAAGCAGGTTAGTCATATAAAAGGGGAAAGAAAAAAAAAAGATATATTTATCCTACTTACTCAATGAAGGGAGTGACTTCATGAGTGTTAAAAAGAATGTATCGGTGGGCTTGCAGCAAGGGCTGAGAGTCAAGCTTTATCCTTCGCACCCTTTTTCGTTTCTTTAGATTAACAACCATGTGTACTTGTGCCCTTCCCAATGGTCGACCTATGAGAGTTATTAGGTTTTCTTCTACCTCATTAGAATGCTCCCTATCATCTTCATCATTATTACGTAAAGGTCTATTAAATCTAGTCTCAACCCCTTCCAAATATCTTGAGCAGAACGTTAAACACTCATTTGACAAATAAGCTTCTGCTATTGATCCCTCTGGATGAGCTCTATTACAAACATAATTCTTGAGTGTAAGGAGGAACCTAGAAACAATTAAGAAAATTATAAATTAGTCAACATTTTTTAGATTTCTTGCAAATTAATGAATAAATTATTATAAAAATAAAAAATATTAAGAATTAAACTAACCGTTCAATGGGGACATCCACCTATAAGCAACTGGCCCACCAAGCTTTACCTCTTCTGCCAAATGCATGACAAGATGTACCATCACAGTGAAGAATGAAGGTGGGAAGATCTTTTCCATTTCACACAAAATTATTACAGATTGAGACTTTAACTCATCAAGATCAGATTCTTTGAACACTTTTGCACACAAGCATTTGAAGAGTTGACACAACTCAACAATAACTGAAGCAACTCTTTTAGGCAAAGATCCTCGAATTGCCACCGGTAGAAGTTCTTCCATAAGAATATGGCCATCATAAGATTTAAGTCCTATTATCTTCCGTTGTTTAACTTGAACACAACGAGAGATATTACATGAGTACTCATCAGGTAATTTCATATCCTTTAAGACCTTAAAAAAAAGCATCTTTCTCCTTTGCAGTCATTTGATAACAAGCTTTGGGCAGCAACTTAGAGTTATTACTTGATCCTGGTTTTGGATGCAGATCAGCCCTTAACCCCATGTCTTGGAGGTCACATCGTGCTTTGTAATTGTCTTTTGTTTTTCCATCTTGGTCAGTTATTGTTCCATAAGTGTTATCGAAGACATTTTTCTCAGTGTGCATCATATCAATGTTGTGGGGAAGTAGATTGTGCTGCCAGTAAGGAAGAGTAAAAAAAATGCTAATCTTTTTCAAAGGCTGACTTGATTCCCCTTCCATTATATTCACATTATCTGCATGACTCAAAATTTCTGATCCAGATGTTCGACTAGGTGGCATTCGAAGCTCCTTGTTTCCATCAAAAGATTTTCCATCATGTCGATACCTATGCCTTCGATCTAGCCATCTCCGATGACCCATATAACAATATTTCCTACTGTGATATAACCACTTAGATTCTGTATTATAACCACAGCATGGACAAGCCTTTTCCCCCCTAGTACTCCACCCGGACAGAATTGCACGAGCTGGAGAGTCATTGATGGTCCATAATAATGCAGCTCTCAACTGGAATCTCTCCCTTTTAGAAGCATCAAAAGTTTCAATCCCAGTGTCCCATAGTTGTTGTAACTCTTCAATGAGTGGCTGCATGTAGATATCAATTTTGTTTCCAGGACTTTTTGGACCAGGAATCAAAAGTGACAATATCAAATTCGGCTGCTTCATGCATAACCAAGGAGGCAGGTTGTATGGCATTAGTATAACAGGCCAGGTGCTATATGTGACATTCATTGACTTGAATGGGTTAAATCCATCAGAAGCTAGACCCAATCGCAGATTTCGAGGATCAGCAGCAAACTCTGGATATTTTTCATCCAAATGCTTCCAAGCAATAGAATCTGTAGGATGGCGAATAAGTCCATCCTTAGTCCGTTCTTCATCATGACATCTCATAAGAGCAGCAGTTTTTGAAGACATGTACAGCCGCTGTAATCTTGGGATTAAAGGGAACCATCGCAAGATCTTAGCAGCTTTTGGCTTTTTCTTTTTTATTGTGCAATCTATGGAATCTTCTTCAATATTTGTGTTAACAATCCATCTCGAAGCACCACACTCAGAACAAAAATCATCATTAACTTTATCTTTCCAAAACAACATGCAATCATTAGGGCAAGCATGTATTTTCTCATAACTTAAGCCTAAACTTCTAATGATTTTCTTGGTTCCACTATAAGACTTAGGCAACAAATTCCCTTCCGGTAGCAAGAAAATTAAGTACTCTAATAATTGAGTGAAAGACTTGTTACTCCACCCATTTAAGCATTTTAGGTGAAATAAATGCACAACAGCAGCTAACTTGCTCTCTTCACAATTGGGGTATAATTTCTGCCCAGCATCCTTCAACAAATTAAAAAAGCCATCCATATGATTTCCAGACATGGAAGGTTCTTGGTTAAAAGCACTTCCAGAATTGAAACTTTCTACACCCTCATTGTGGATGCTATCATCCATATTAACCCCTAGAAAAGCATCTTGTAGCAACCCTCTCATATCATGATTAAAAGCTATTTCCTCTTCATTTTGGTTTTCACTAGAATTCACCATTGCAGAATCCTTCTCATGAGAAGTCCAATTATAATTTCTAAGAAAACCCTTTTCTACTAAATGATCAACAACCTCTTCTTTTGTACACCAAATTAAGTTTGCACATCTCCTACAAGGGCACAATATTTTCCCAGCTTTTGCAGATTTCTCAAATGTAAAATTTACAAAATTCAAAACTCCTTCTATGTAATATGGACTTGAGGTTTCTTTCAAATTTATCCATGTTTTATCCATAGTGATAAAACGATAAAACTGTAACCAAACAATTAAAACCAATGAAAACAGAGAAAACAAAAACAAAAAAATTGAAGTAAACATTTGGATAATTTTTTTAATAGCTTTATTTATTCTCTAGAAAATTTTACTTCCCTAAAACAAATAACATGAGCCTTAGCATTCAATAGTACGTCATTTTAATAAAAGAATCACTAAAACAAACAAGAGCACATGGTAGAAGGTTTAGTTCCTTATAATTTTTTCCCATTATGGAACAGTTCAAATGCCTCTGTTGTATGCTTTTGTCAGGTATAATTATTCCCTTTATGGAATAATTCAGTCTTATTTAAATATGGGGTTTTTTTTTTTTCTTTTGTTTTGGTTTGTTATCATTGAAGATGAAAAGGGAGAAGAAGAGAGAGATGTATTTTCCCATAAGGAAGCATGCCATTAAGGTGTAAGATAGTTTTATTAGTTAGAATTCTATTATTAACTGCTATGCATATTTACTTTTCCCAATTGTGTTCGAGAACTTGAGTTTGTGTTTTTGTTTTATTTTTGTATGTGAACTTGGGATTATCAACCAAGATGCATAGCTTTTTTGACACAATGGCATTTCCTCTACTTCTCTTGAAATCCAAAGTGAATTTTGGTTCCTATTTGATGACTATTTAAGGTTTCCTCCTTGCATATGAGAATCAACATAGACAATGGAATTTCGTGAAATTGCAATTTAATGACAATTAGGGAGATAATTGATACCATGTCATTTTCAACAACAAAGATACAATGTCATTTGGGTAAAGATTTTATATAACTAACTCTATGCCAAAAATCTTGTCCATAAAAGAACAAGATGCTCTTAGAAACACAATACTAAAAATCATATCACCAACGTATTTATTAGCTTACCTAAATTAACAACATCAGGAGATGAAAAATAGCAATGCCCAAAAAAAAAAAAGCCACTAGGCTTGCTTACTATTCACACACATACATACAAGGTCAAGGTGTTTTGAATTTTGAAGGCAAGATTTTAACACTTTTTGATAGTGCTACCACAATGAACTTGAAAAATATCCTTAAAACTTTTTTTTTATTTCATATTTCAGTCAACTCAAACAAGACCAATCAACAAAAGACACCAGATCAATAGCATTAAAGAAAGAAACTGTAATCAGAAAGAAAGAAAGAAAAAAAAGAAGCAATTACCAACAAAATTAAACTACATTTGAATTAGGAACAAACAGCACAAATCAACAAAATCTCAAGTGCATTAGGTATTGACTAACCTTCTTCTTCTCTCAGTAAAATCAAAGGCTACTCCCAAGTACTGTCTTTAACAGGATCCTCAACAGATCTGGAAATTAATAGCAAGAATCCAGAGTTAACCACCAACCAAAAATTCTAAACTTGTCCAAAAAATGACAAAAGATACTCTGTAATATTTTGAAAAACAAAAATTACAAAATGTATTTCCAATGCAGAAAAAATAAAGGAAAGGAAAAAGAAAAAAGAAAAATTGATCTCTCATTTTTTGATAACACATTTAGACACATCCAAGTATTAAATATTTTTTCCATAACTTATTATCCTAAAATTAGGATATTGAAACTATTTAGTGTTATAGGATAGGCATGTAAGAGTAACAACTAATAACTTGGTTTGGTAATAGCTCGATTTAACAAAACCTAGCTTGTGCAGACATGCTTATACAATGAAGGTACGGTTTTAAACTCTTCAATGAATACAAGCATTTTTCACATAAAGCCACTCGTATAAAATTTTGGAATTCTAGAACTGTTACTGGACATCTTTTGGATAGAGAAAATGTAACAGCATTTCACATGACTACTGTAATTTGGATAATAATCTTTTTTAGTTGAAGTAAGAAGTTGTAATTGAAAAGCTTGTGTATAACAAGCGAAAATGCATGATGTTCTTCTTTTTTTGTTTTTTTTTTTTTTCATTATCATAATCAACTTGGTTAAGGTGTCCAACTAGGTGATTCTTCAAAGAAACTTGGGAAACAGTTTGCTATAGGGGACTCTGTAATTGCAAAGGTAGTTCATTGACAGTTGTTATTTTATTATGTTTTGCACTAATTTACAATCATGTTATCTATGGTTTCAAATTGTTGATCAAGGTGACATTCCATATGAAATTGTGGAATTTATCACAGAAATCTCGCCTGATGTAATATATCTTAATACTCTTTCCATAACTTATTATCCTAAAATTTTTATGAAAAATTAAATAGAAAAGAATCCAATGAGCTAAATATAACATAAAAGTCTGTCAAACTACATATTACATTCAATTCCCAATATATAAACACAACACAATTCTTTGGATTTAATGAATATCTAATGGCAAGAATTAAAAAAATCATATAAATAATAATGAAAAGAAAACTACAGAAAATCAAAGCCAAAATCACCAATATGAAATATTAGAAATCCAGCAAATGGAGAAGTCCAAAAATAAAACTTTGAACTAAAATTAGAAATTCTTCCAATGGAGAGCTGTCCAAGAATTCATTTCAAGAAATGACTAAGGAAATTCATTCACTTCACCATTAAAAAGGAAAACAACAGACACAGAACAGTACTTGGCCAATTGCTTGTCATATTTACTATAAGGGTAGATAGGAATGAGCATGAAAACCAAAAGCAATTCAATCACCCTGGAAAAAATTCCGAAAAAGGGGTTTTGACCCAGAATAAATACAGGGGAAAAGGAGAAGACTTTGTTTTTTCTACCGAACTAGAAAAGAACGAAACAGAGAAAGCGAGAAAGAGACAGAGACAGAGAAAGAGAGAGAGAATGAACACAAGGGACTTGGAAAGGGGGAGGAAAAGCAGCGAGATAAGGACTAAGAAGGCGTTGAAATAGATGGATCCAAGCCATAAAGTGAGAGCTAAGATTGCATGGAAAATGGTCGAGCGGAACTCCTCTCTTCCTCTAAACTCCTTTGACGGCGATATTCTCCGGTCGGCTTCTTCCTGGCCCATAATCCTTTTGAGTTACTCTATCTGCTTCGGGAATGTAGAAGAATCGGTGATTTCAGGCAGAGAGTTTTTTGGAAGATTTAATAGTGAAGTTATGACGGTGACGGCGATGCAATCGGAACTTGAAACCAGTATGAAACTAAACAATCGGAAAACAACAAGGAAACCAGTAATAGCAAAAATGAAACCAGTAATAGCAAAGATGAGCATGCACAGCCTAATGGAATCTTATAGAAACAGAGAGAGAGAGAGGCGACGGTACCATGGATGACGAACAGGAGAGAGCAAGCGGGCCTGCGGTCGGCTGCGAGCAATCCTCTGTCGTTGATGGATTAGAGTGGAGGAAATGAGTTTTGCAGCTGGGTTCGAATGGGTTTTGCGTTTTAGCAAAATCAATTACAAAATTTGTAGATTTGCTGGGAGGGAAGGTCAGAAATTGGGGAGGGAAGCTCGGAAATAAGGGAGGGAAATTGGGGGTGCGCGGTGGGAAGGGAAAGTGGGCAGGCTGAAATTAGGAAGAAAAAATTAACTGTTAAAGAAATAGGGGACTATACCGACCGAACATTAATTGTTTGTATAGATATATTTATACAGACATATAATAATTACCGTTGGTATAGATATATTATATACAGACGGATAATCACTAAACCGTCTGTATAAACCAAGTCTATACAAACGGATGTATTTTTCCGTTGGTATAGACCTGCGTATACTAACGGCTGAAGTTTTCCATTGGTATATATAATTTATACAGACGGATTTTTTATCCGTTGGTATAGAGTTCCGTTGGTATAGGGCATTTTGCTTGTAGTGGCCCATTGAAATATTTTGCAACCTCACGCAGTTCATCCCATAAGTGAGATCTAAGCTCAAATTGGGGTCTACCATACACACCAGAAAGAAACCGATGAAATTTAGAGAAGATGGGGTGATAGCGTACCTGGACAATTGCGTGGATTGCTTGAAAAGTTGAGGTGACGACATCGACACAAACTTCATTATCATCCCACAATAGCCAGAGACCACCAGCCCTACCATCTGAATCAACTACATGGCTACAAGGATATCCACATTCAACCGCCGCTTT